TTTGTATTTCATTTGGAAATCAAGGTCCTAGAGTCTGGAGGAAGGGTGGAGAAGCTCATAGCCCAAGTTGCTTGAAGTCCAGTGTTACGTTTCCACAGTCTGTGATGATTTGGGGTGCAATGTCATCTGCTGGTGTTGGTTCATTGTGTTTTTTGAAAACCAACGTCACTGCACCCGTTTACCAAGACATTTTGGAGCACTTCATGCTTCCTTCTGCTGACCAGCTTTTTGAAGATGCTAATTTAATTTTCCAGCAGGATTTGGCACCTGCCCACACTGCCAAAAGCACCAAAAGTTGGTTAAATGACCATGGTGTTGGTGTGCTTGACTGGCCAGCAAACTCACCAGACCTGAACCCCATAGAGAATCTATGGGGTATTGTCAAGAGGAAAACGAGAAACAAGAAACCAAAAAATGCAGATGAGCTGAAGGCCACTGTCAAAGAAACCTGGGCTTCCATATCACCTCAGCAGTGCCACAAACTGATCACCTCCATGCCACGCCGAATTGAGGCAGTAAATAAAGCAGAAGGAGCCCCTACCAAGTATTGAGTACATGTAAAGTAAATGAACATACTTTCCAGAAGGCCAACAATTCACTAAAAATGTTTATTTTTATTGGTCTTATGAAGTATTCTAATTTGTTGAGATTCGATATTGGTGGGTTTTTGTTAAATGTGAGCCAAAATCATCACAATTAAAATAACCAAAGACTTAAACTACTTCAGTCTGTGTGTTTTGAATTTATTTAATACACAAGTTTCCCAATTTGAGTTGAATTACTTAAATAAATGAACTTTTCCACGACATTCTAATTTATTGAGATGCACCTGTATATATATATATATATATTGTAAAAAATAATCTATTAAAAAATGTGTGGACAACAGGCTTGATCCCAATAATACCACCTCTCTCTATACCTTAGGGTTCATGAAGTTTACAAAGGGTTGGAGCATACAACTGATATTCCCAGCACTATCCTTTTACTTTTTCCACACAATTGCTTTTTTCGGTGGGACAATGGACTATATCCTGCTGGATATTGATACTACAGTGAGGAAGGGTTGCATGGGAGGGGCTGTACAAGGATGTTAGCTAATATAAGCCACCTGCCCAGGCCCACCGTTATAGATGTACTACAGCAAACAAACACAAGCCAGAAGAGGAAAAGGTAAAGGAAAAATAAAACAATCTGTCACACTTGTTCTTTGATGTTGCAATTTACTGTATAGTATGTAGTGTAGAAACCCTTATACTGGTGATCTTCTAAATAAATATTTTAGAAAAAAATGAATAAAACATTAGCAATTATAGTAAAATGTAGTGGAGTTCCACAAGGTTCTATTCTAGGACCTCTTCTCTTTTCTTTTTATGCTACCAAGTGGTAGTGAAATAAAGAACCATGGGATCAAAGCATGCTGAAACATATTTACTTTGCATTTTATCAAACAAAACGACCTGCTGCGATGACATCACATATAAAGATAAACGTCATGAAGTTCCAAACAACTTGTTGCTATATAACTGACTTAAGTTTGCATAAACTGCATTAGTGTTTACATTGGCGACTTACTTCTCCTCCTGAGCCATGTGCACTGCTGGGCTCCCACAGTGAAACTGGACTTTCAGGTCGGTGAAGATGCGGCAGGTGAGTCGCAGGGAACGGCTGAAAGAAAACTCGGACTACAGGTCAAACAACTTCTCAGATCCGACACTCATTACAGCATCCTCCGTCTGTTCCGCACAAAGGAGAGCAGCCAAACATTCAGTATCATGCAGAAAATTGTGTTAATTCTGGGAAGTCTCAAGGTGATTGCTATTGTGAGCAAGCAAAGGTGCGCTCTCATTACCTGGAGGAGGGGACAAGCCAGCCAATCCCCGCGCAGCTACTTTGATTTGGCGACGGCGATTGGCTGTAAAGCAAAAAGAAGGTGTGGCAGCCACCTGCACGCTTAAATGCTGTTAAAACATGCATCTGAAATAGAGACTCACATTCTGTTCATGGGAGTTTTCCCATTGATTGCGCAAAGAGATATTACTCGAGAGGCGTGTTTTTTGGGAAATGTTTAAATAGCCTACTGATTAATCTCTAAATAACCTAGATATAAATCTCAAAATCTAATAAAAAACGTTTTATTTAAAAGATATGATTGGAGAAGCTTAGTGAGGTATTGAGGAGCAAGATGTTTAGGTCTGTACATATCACTGCAGCTGGCAGAGCAGTTAATAATAATGAAATATGACTTTTGTTTCCATTTTCTTGTTGGGAAAGGGAATGCTTGTTCACTTTTAGCCGTCTGTCTGAGCCTATCCAAATACAGGTATTGTTGACTAGCAGACTACTATTTGTTTGTTAGGGCTGCAAATAAAAGCGTCTGTTAGACTAACAGGTGTGGCTCTATTTTAAAAGCTTCAAATGTGCTCTTTCTTTGCTTGAATCTGGGATTAGGCCAGCCTGGGATGAGCTCCTGTACCAGTTGTGCTTTTAATGAGCAGACCATTAAAAAAAACAACAACAAAAAAACACTATAACAAAAAAATTTAAGAAACTTTTCATAATTTCAGTGGCTGCTAATGTGTACGTGACATATCAGATATGAAAATGGCAGGCTTCAACAAGACTATTGATCGGTCAGGTAAAATCTACTAATGACCTGCATTTATCAGTCATGGGAACAGAGACACCTGAGTGCAGAAAAATAATATTTCATAATTTGCTCCAGCATAAAGACTAACAGAGACAGAGGAGTATAAATACACATCATCAGTCTGTATTTGTAATGTCTTGTTCTGTCATGATTTTATTTTTTTTAAAACCCATTGAGTTCTACTTGATTCGCATCCTTGTCAGACTTCATGGGACATTTCACAAGAGGTGTGGCATGCCCGAGTAAAAGAAAAATAACCTGTTTTGACCTGGAGAAGGGCTTCAGCTTCTACCCGTCTGACAGGTAACGATTCTGCATTGTTAGCAAAATGTGACAGTAGTTTATAGATAACACACACACACTGAATTGACATTTTAGTTGTACCAGTCCAATAAAGTTGTCCTCTGACAACTTAAGTATTCTCATGTTGGGTGTCTAGTATTACTAGGAAATTTAAATGAAGAAAATCTTTCTCATGCACCACCTTTTAAAAACAGTTATGGCTGCAAATACCCAGTTACTTGTATATATAATATTAAATGTAATTTGATGGGAAAATATCAGCGAGCAATTCAGGACTAATCCTGCTGACTCACATGATTCACATGATGTCATCTATTGCCTGAGCATGAGAACAAGGCCCGCCCCAATCTACTGCTACAGAAAACAGAACATTTTAAAATGGTATCAGTCTCTGTGGATTTATACCACTCCACTCCAATAAATAACTAACTAAATAATAAATACAAAAGTGACAAAGGTCTAATTAGTTTTTTTTCATTATTCAAGTTTATTGTATATATATATATACACATACACACGTTTGTGTTTTAGAAGAATGCCCCATTTCATTTTCAACTTTACATTTTTTATTTATTTTAATGTTACTTGCCAATTCATTGGAATTATTCTTCAGATCATTATTCTTGGTTAAAATTTACTAGCAATTTCTGAAGCAAAATTGTTTAGAAGTTAATTCTACAGTTTTTTTTAGTGTATAAGTGTAAATATAAAGCACTTTTAAGGAATGCTTCTCATGTGGTGGGTAGAAGTGGAAATTTCAGATTTGTTTCACCACCTATCTAATCTTACAGCACCACAATGACGGTGATATAGAGTTGCTGGAGTACCACCGAGAGTGTCAGACATGTGTAAGATTTCCACAAAGAAGCCCCTGGGCTGGGCAGGACCTTCAAAAACGGACTTTTCATTCATTCAGATTTTATGCCTGAACTCAAGCATGCAAACAAATAATTCACCTCAAACAATTCAACACAAACATAGAAGTAAGCTGACATCTTGTGGCCAACGTTGGTACTACTACATTTCAACCCATTTTGAGGGAGTTTCTCACAGTGGCTGCCACTGGGGGAAAAAAAAGGATGATTCTAAAAGTAAATGAATGCAATACAACAACATGCTTTGTTCTCTCAAGATTTAATTTCTGCTCAATAAGATAACCAAAACAAATCTCTATGTCTCAAGTCTAGTCACAAAATACAGATTACCATACAAAATCTACAAAATGCAACAATTACAAACAATTTGTTTGACAAATAACAATTGTACAGTATAAATTTATACAATACTGCTTTCATATTTTTTGGCACCTGACCACGATATAACTGTGATACAGGAATGTTACATCAGATGTTTAAAAAGAAAAAAATTAAAAACTACATAAAATATGCATAACATGAAATTACAGAGCAGTTTTGGTATGCCACTTTAACTTTTCTTTTTCTATATTTTTACAAAAACAGCAGTTGTTCAACAAGTGAAATAAAAACATTCATTAACAGTATAGCAGAGCCGAACGCACTGTGGTGAGAGGCATTTGACGTTGACAAGGACATTCAAGAACATTGAACATCAGTAGAAGCAGTTGGCAGAGGGTGATTCAGGAACTATTAGCAGTTCTGAATAAATGCTCTCTACCTATTGTTCAATATGTGAGTGAAATGGATACAGGTATGAATACAACATGAATGCAAGGGGCATTTGAAAAGTGATGGGTCCTATTTCCTCTTACACTCTTGATGTTATTTTGAAATGAGCGTGCAACTCAGTATGACAGGTTAATATATTAAGCAAAAGGCCGTCAACATAATTACATTATCTGTTAAAGGGGTGAATGGGAAGAACATGGATCACAACTCTTCAACAGATGGATGATGGAAGCAAATTTACTGCAATTTAAGCTTGATTAAAAAAAAAAAAAGTAACAAAGCCATATAAAAAAATCAATCACCCACAGAAACACTTGAGTGTGTATAAGGCAATTCAGTAACTTGATGATGCTCATGTGTACAATCCAGAGTTAAAGACTGTCTGTATAGCAGATAAATGTGATTCTAAAATCAAATTAGCTTTGAATCAATAAAGCTTTAGTTCTTCTTCAATAACAAAAACGTTCTGCAATAATGCAAACGATGCATCACACAACATCTAGAACCAGAATGATTAAACAGGGCTGTAACTGATATTAACCAAACACATACAGTACACACAACACATGCATACACATTACACAAATACTCTCCTATCCACAAATGCAGATAAACGTGGTTACATGCTTCTGCTAAAAATGTCAATAAAACCGATCGCTGCCTCCTAGGATGGAACTCTGAGTACAGTTTTGCATGCGTGTCTGATATTTCAGATTTATATACAAGCCTACAGTTACTAGAGTACAAACATTAGAAAACTGGTAAAAGAGAATGCAGTTCATTTCATGTCTTTTGAACCTAGACTGTTCGACTAAAACCAAACTACACCACACAAAATTGGATGTGCGCTTCCAGGACTAATAAGGCTCTTCAGATTGTAAGCACAACGTGGGGATTCATACAACTGGAAAATCTGCATGCCTGATTTATTGGTCCCATTGGATAATAATACTGTGATCTGCCAATAATAATGCTGGCCAAACTATTAATTGAGAGAAACTACATAGTCTAAATAAAGTTAAAAATAACCCAAATATGTAAATCACTAAGGCTGAGGTGTTTACACACTATTGATTCAGGCATCAGATATTTTTTAATAATAATAAAAAAAATTAAGAATAAAACTGTTTTACTGAGTGCATCTTATATTCCTGTATCAGTCAAGATTAAACTGCCTCATCTAATACCCAGAGAAAATAAGAATAAAACTGACTACGTACGTACTTTGACATGAAACCTCTTTTCTAATCAGGAAGTGATTCGAGCTCAGATAAATTCTCTAGTTACCCTAATTCACTCCATCACAGCCCTCTTCCAGGCCCGGTGCGGCTCCCTACAGAGATAACGCAGCCAATAACTCTGCGTGCGCGTGTTTCTATATCTGGCCAAGCTCAGTCTGATGAGACCCAGATGCCCTACTCTGGAAAAAAACCTCACCCTCCATCATTTCCCTGCGAGTGGAAGGAGCGACTATATCAAAAACGAAATTAAAACCCATAAATAAATAAAAGGTTGAAGCATGAGACGCTGATCTCAGAACTGTCCTGCACTGCTGGGGTCACACTGTAGCAGACGCACAATGGACGGGTCGCTCTTTGCCCCTTTGATGAACTCCTCCAGAGACAGTTTTCCTAGAATAAAACAAGAGAGGACACAGGCTCTTAGAAAATCATATTATTTACAATAGAAAAGTGATGGCTAGTTTTCTGATATCTGGCTCATTGTGTTAGAGTCTGAATGAACGTGTTCAAATGTTATGGAAACAATGGAAAAGATTTTAGTGCTTCTATTAAATCAAAGAAGCCTACAGGTCTGCAGGCTAAAAAAGGGCAGGATATATAGTCTAACAGAAGTTAAGCAAAATTGTGCATGCTCTTTTTCTCTGATTTTACATTCAGATTACCTTTGTTCTTCACATACATTTACTTCATTTTAAAAACACTAATGATTGAATAATAACAACAATCTTAATCTTTAAACTTAATCTCTTAATATCCATTTTCATACTGTATATTTTTGATTTGTGATGCCTAAATTCACGTGTAGGATTTAAAATTATTCTAGTTTTCCTGTTTAATTGCACCAGAAATAGAATTTGAATCATTTGGTATATGACTGATGTTTAGTATAGGGACATCCTTAAAAACAAGCAGTGACTGAAGCTCCATATCAGTCAGCAGGTGGCACTGCCGTCTCCTTGCATTCAAAAGTGAGAGTTGGCAAAGGAATGGTTGATATTTGGTTTGGTGTACAGAAACTGTTACCCAGTGAGGAGTGATGAAATGGCACAAGAACAGGTCCTCTCAGTCATAGAGAAGATTAGCATTCAGTTTAGTCCATGCTTAGACTGCATGATTTAATTTGATCAAATTGTGCATTTGTAGTGCTTCGTTCCTCAATTTCCTCACTGTGCTCAATAAAATAGGCTATCTGTCTGAGAACACACTTATGCTGCATCTGATCCCACAAATACACAAACATGCACCCAGCCTCCGTCCTTTGTGACTTTAGTCACAAGAGAGCAGCAAATGCAAAAGTTAATCTGAACATAGAATCAGGCCACTCTTTCCACTCTCTTTTCTGTATACTCCCATTTGTGTGGTTTTTGATTAGCAATTTCATGCACAGCCGTTCATGCTGAAGTAGACAGTCCTAAGCCTTGTTTAACTTTGTTTTGTTGTACTAAAGTGCACAAAACAAGCATACGGACTTTACACAAAAACGCACACAGCCAGAAAACACTTTTGCTATAAATGTAATTTAAAAACATATTACAATTTAATATTTAAGAGTAAAATGCCTACTTAAAACACATTTTTCGGCGATTGAAACAATGATTGAGAAATGAGACATTACATGAGACATGATATATCTCAGTAAGTTAGTCAAATCATGCCATCGGAGAAGTGCTAATTAACCTTCAATGTTTCAGTCAAAGATTTCGGCCCTCAAAGACCACTTGTTCATATACAACTGCTAAAGTAGTTTCATGATATAGGGAGAAAAAGGGTTTACCATCCCGGTTGGTGTCCATTTGTCTGAAGATCTTTTCTGTTCTCTTCTCAGGTGTGGACTCATCCTCTGGCATCTTCATCACTGATGATACCATCTTGTAAATCGCCTGAGGGAGACGATACACAAGAGATTCCCTTATCGCTTAACAAGAGAGTTAAGATACTCTCCCCTCCTATTAATGTCTCTGTTTGAATTAACACTGACTGCACACACTTTCTTATGCCTTTGATAATAAAGTCTAAGTGAGAACAAGACCTGTGAGCTGTAACAGCATTGATTACTCAGAGATGAGGCAGAATCCCAGCACATGGCTGAGAGCAGAGTGACATGCACAAAGATCATGTAGAAATATGTTCAATATGATTGATTAGCTTTAAGACAACAGGCCTAAATACTGCACTATTTGTGTGCATAAATGCAAATGAAAAATGAGAACTGTTCTAACTTAAATTTTATTACAATTTGTTTGTATAGTACTTTTCAAAATAAATCCTGCTACAAAGCAGTTTTATAAAAGAACAGAGCCCAAATTATACAAATCCCATTAGCCACTAAAAATCTTCCATTCATTGATTTTGTACAACCATTTTTAGAAAACCCTAAAAATATATAATTATGATTACATATAACTAATTATTATTTTGTGGTGCAGTCTTAATACACTATCTGGCTATTCATCATTAAAAGAGGTGCATCATTCAGTACATCATTAGATTTACCATGGCCTGCCAGGGATGGAGGTAAACCATCCATCAAAATAAAGCAATCAAGACATGAGAGGTGATGGCCTCATTCTTGATGCCCGCCAAAACAGAACTAAATTCCATTTTCATATTTGGTTATATGAAATGCATCAACTAAACCATTGTTATTTGAAAAACTATTTGTGGGTATAGCATTTACCTTTATTCTATATTACAGCTAAACTTCTATAGTACAAATGTAATAAATAAGTTACAAGTCTTCAAACTTTTTGGTTTGGTTTCGAAAGGGCCTCAAGATTTGAGAAATCACCTGTTGCTAAAATTACTCTTCTCAGTAAAGCTGCAAAGGTAAATCAGGCCAATTGCAATGACAGCAAACATGAATAACCATGTGAAGGAGTGCACTTTGATGAGAGCCTGTTTATTCGAGACAGAAATAAGACTTGGGCTCTCTTTAGAGTATGGAGCTTCCCGACAGTCTAACACCATGGCTATCCTTGCTGTTGACGCAAGTGAGAAATAACAACATATGCGATGTGAAAATTGGGTAGCAATTCTGGGTTGGGTTCTCTTTTGTGTCTTCTGTGGTGATATCTGATTCTATTTCAGACCTCAGCAGTCATTATTATGATGATAAGAAAAGGATTTACAGAGTGCCAATATTAGGTTAATTCATAAAAGCTTCAGGAAGCCTGACATACCTGCACAATCTCCAGCATCTCTGCTTTGCTGATGTATCCATTTCCATCCAAATCATACATGCTAAACGCCCACTTGAGCTTCTGTTCCAGCTTCCCTCGTGACGTGACGCTCAATGCAATTATGAACTCTCGAAAGTCTATTGTGCCATCGCCATTTGCATCAAAGGTACGGAACACATGCTCTGCAAACTTTGAGGCATCTCCGTAAGGAAAGAAGTTTCCGTAGATTTTCTTAAACTCCTCCATGGAGAGGTTGCCACTGGGACAGTCCCGTAGAAAGCCCTTGTACCATTCCTGGATTTCATGCTCTGTAAAGTCTGTGCTTTCCAGCAGGTCCTGCATCACCTCAGGGCGGAGCTTGCTGTTCTGCTTCCCCATGGTTTCGTTTCACGAGAAAGCACTGGCAAAAGAAGGGAGAGAGAGAAAATTAGTACGTATGGAATGTTCGGTAGATTCAAGTCATAATGGTATATTGTGGTACCCTTATACTGCCATGATCCTTGATGTAAAATGTTCATCCAATTTGGACTGAAGATTTTTGAACTATATTTATCCACGTGTTTGTCCATCTAGAGTTACAAACAATTGCTCTTCTTGCAGATTTATTCCAAACAGAGACTTGCCCTTGTCAATCAAATTCATCTTTACAAGAGGGAAAGATGTAGCTAATCAGAGAACAGACTCTATTGCCCAACAACCAGCTATGAAATTGAAAAATCCTAGACCTTAGATGGGAAAACAAATAAAGTGACAGATGAAATAAAGCCATATTACTGTAGTGACACTATGATGTCATTTTCAATGAGAGATGGTGATTTTCAGTAATGTGAGAGTTAAGTTTCAAGCGTGTCCAGTCATGCATGTTGAGAAGTTTAACTTTAACTATGTCAATGAGTAGCAACGCAATGCAGTGACTACTGATAAGGACAGATGCTGTAGTGTTACATAGGCAACACACAAGAGAAATCAATATTACTGTTACTAGTGACTTCGCTGTTCTATATGGTTCATTTCTGCCCACATGCAGTGATATTTTACCATTTTCAAGCATACCAAGTCAGACTGATTCATTCACTGAATTGTTTTTAGGAGTAGGAAAAATGAATTCTTTGTCAAATTAGAATTTAACTAACAATAAAATAAATGTTATTTCTGGTAATTTGGGATTTTCACTATGGCCAATTGTGAAGCCCACCAGTAACATGAGGGCATTCAGCATCAGGAACGCCCACAGCGACCAATAATACAGTGACTCAGTAACCAGCAGCGGTAAAATCACTAAGCGTGAATGGGACACGAGTCTGATTTCCCACAATACCCATTCAAGCAAGTCACAAAAATAGTTATGGTATCAAGGCATGAAAACCACTGGCTTTAAATGTTCCAATTCAGGGAAGTGTGTTCGGACAGTGCAGATGTTTTGCCTCTGATGTCCTCATTAGAAGTACAAATGACAAAATCTGAGCAGCAATTCAAAACATAAACAGAACAAAACTATAAAGCCGTACACAGATTTCTCAATAATTCATTTTGAATAGCAGCTGCATTATCATCATCTAAAGATTGTGATTCCAGAAGGCATACTACATATAGTCATATGAATGAGGCAATTTTACAAGACTAGATGCCTTTTAATATTACATAAGATAATTTATAAAAGCCGTGCACCTCCATATCTCAAAAGACTTTAGGATTTTCTTTTAAAAATAAAGGTGCAACAGCTAACAAGACATTTCAGGATTTTGTATTGAAAAAAATGAGGCAGAATATAAATAAAAACATGTTAAAACAAAACCAACAAAAACTTTGATGAATCTAAAGAGTACAAAACATATCTAGACATTAATGTCTAGCAATCAATAAAAAATGGCAAAACAAAAATGAAAAAATTAGTTAATGTGTTAGGTCATTCACAGTCCCCAGCTGCAGAGCCTCCATTCAGGCCGGAAGGTCTGGAGAGGATCAGCTGGTACGTGACATCTGATGCGTCTACATGCAGGAAGTTTCTCAGTTGGGTCATGGATCTTTGTACTAATCAGACCACTGTCTTACTAAAATTGTAGGCAAACACTCAGACGCATACATACACGCCCCAGCCCTGTGAATGTATTGTATACAAGAGTCACAGCATTTAAATGAGCTGAATGAATCATGTGCACTAAAGCTGAGGGGTGAAGGTTAGGGCAGAAGAGGAGATAGTACTCACTGTTTGATTAGAACTGGAGCGTAGCTCTTCAAACTTAAGGACACTTAAAGATCTGACACTGCTTTTCTGAATGACCTGCACAAGTACACTACATCCTGTCTTAACTGGTTTCATGTAGGGGGAAAAAGTTTTGCTGTAGCGCTTTCATAAAAACTGAAATATACACAAAAAATATCTGACAGTGTGAATCAAATCATGCAGCTTCTGTAACACCTTTTTCCCCCTGAAATCTGTGTGAGAGAAACCTGATATCATTTTTCTCTAATCCAGTGCCTGGTATCTGATTACACTTCATAAATGCCCTCGTTTACAAGTAGTATTACACTACTAGTATATTAGCTAGCAGCTGTCAACAATTGGAAATATTCTGAATCATTCATCAGTCATGTCTATTGATTCTACTCATTTTTGTATTTGACAAACTTTTCTGAACATAAATCATACCTATGAATGTAATGTACCTATGTGCGCATAAGGAAAAGTTGGTTGGAACATTTACACGAAAACATTTGCAGAAATATTCCAATGGTTTTCAACTGTTTGAGGACAGATTTCTTGTGTTTGTATTCGTTTGTATAAATAATAATAAAACGCGATTAGACGTTTCTTTAACGTGGAAAACTCGATTATAGTTTGAGAAACAACTTGACAGGCAATCCATTTGTAAAAAATGTGTATAAGGTTTATACTTTATAGATCGGTAATAACTGTTATTTGTAGTATTAATAAATTCATAAAATATTCCTTTGTGGAGGTTTTGTAGCAGAAGAGCCAGACTCACTCTCTCTCTCTCTGTTAGTATTTCACATTAAGTATACAAAATCCACAATAAAAAGTAATATAGCAAAAGGCAGCAAACACCAATGGCTCAAATGGAAGATTGTCATGTGTTTTATTAAATGTTTGAAAAGTCATAGTAATATTGATGAAAAGGCATACAAAAATACATGGTAGTTCCTAAAAGGAGGGGGAAAAAAGCATTGGGATAAATAGAAGCCTTGAGCATTATATAGAATTTGTTATTAGCCCCACAGATTCAATCAGAAATGTATGAAATACAGAGTTTCTGAAGTGAAAGTGTAGACTGGTGTCACTATCTCTCGAACGTGCCGGCGGATCTCCACCAAATTGGGGGATCCCTTCAGCTCGAGGAGCCCTCTTGAACGCCACCCTCCGCGCGTCGGTAGCCCCCCGGCATCGCTTGATCGGTCGGCGCCGGACCGCGAATGTAACTCCCAAACCCCAGGGGGCTATCGACGCGGGGGTGGTCTCATTCGAAAGCGGGCCTCTAGAAGTACACTGGATTCATGTTCGAGAGGGTTCCTCGAGCTGAAGGGATCCCCCGAATTTGGTGCGGATTCGCCGCGCCGTTACGGAGATAATATTGGCCGATAATATCGGCAAAACGATATATCAGTCGGGCTCTAATAAAAACATCACAATAATCTAGTTTAGTCTATTAATTATGACCCGTAAACGGTGCTTGATCTGTGCATATTCCTCTCCTGATTCAGACAACTTTTTCATGGGAGGAAGCACTATTATGGACTAGTATTAGTATTTTGGCCAGATTATGAAATTCAGCTTAATGATGGATTTGTTTCTTACAAACACACAGCTTTTCGCATCACAAGATGTTAATTGATGGACCGGAGTGGTGTGGATTATTGTGATGTTATTATCGACATATATGTCGCACGTGCTACTAAAAAACTGGTCTGTGCGATGAATAAATTTACCTGATGCGTGCACAGTTTTGCATGTTCATAACACAGCCGCTTAATAGTGTGAAGTGATTTCGTTGTGCTTGTTTGTGTGTGTGAGGTTGATTATACTTGGTAGTTAGGGGTGTGCGATATGACGATTTATGATCGTGGACGATTAAAATGTCTCCACGATCTGCTTTTGAAGAAATATCGTTGTATCTGCTACAGCGCGCATTCTATCAGCTGCAGTTCTGGTGCCTCCCTCCGTCTCAATATAATGTACAACGCCACATGCTTTCACATCAGTGTTAGCTCAGCGGTAGAGTTACTCTCACGGGACACTGCACTTATGAGCAATCACAAAAATACATTATTTCCATCTGCTTTAAAGCAATACCGGTTAAACATTTAATTCACGTTCTGTTCTGCATGCGCTTTTTCTGAGCGCGTACTCATGAAGCGCCACTGAGAGCCTGTCAAAAAGCGCCTGATTATTGGACTAAGTTGTCTTGCGTGTCTGATTGATTTCACGTATAATACTGTCAAAATCACACAAGGTTTACATATAAACACAGTTGGTTATGTCTAAAATGAAAGTAAACAGTTGAGAGAGAAACGCATGAAGCTCTTAAAGGGACAGTAGCTACTAAACATGCTGCTGACTGTCATTAAAGGGATAGTTCACCCAACATTTTTTTTATTTCTGTCATTATTTACTCTCACATGCACCGTTCTCGACCCCGCCGCCTCTGCTCACTCTAGCCCGGCCTCGGCGCACTCTAGCCCGGCCTTGGCGCACGCTAAGCCGGGGCTTCGGCTCACGCTAGCCCGACCTCGGTGCACGCTAAGCCGGGGCTTTGGCTCATGCTAGGCCGCTGTGTTTTTCATTGTGAAAGCGAAACTACTTTTTTTGGTCTTCCAAAAGAGGACACGACTACAAATCAGTGGTTAAGTTGTATTTACAACACTGTTCCAGAACAATTTGACCCAAATATCCAGATGTGTGCAGCACATTTTATGGAGGACTGTTTACTGATCCTGGGAGAGTAACGTTAGACTAAAATGCCGGCAGTTCTGACTCACATAAGTATGTTTTCATATTTAAAGGATTTGCCACTGATGATTCAAAAGCGAGTTTTGGACAGTGTGGAGTAGCACTTGTTGTTTGTCATTTCTCTGATCACAAATGCAGACAGAGTTTTATGTTTACGCGGCACGATGCAATGCAACGCAACACGCAAAAAGACAGTATAAGTCATTATAATCAGTAATTATGTCCCTACTGGATGCAACAAATGCCTCGTTTGTAATGGGTTTTAATGTTTTTGTCTCGTCGCTCCGGCCGGGACACGGCATCAACAGTATGGTGAGGGGCGTAACATTTCCGTCACACGCTTGAGGTATTCGGCCAATCACAACTAACTGGATAGCTGGCCAATCACAGCACACCTCGCTTTTTCAAACCGATGAGCTTTGTAAAAATCGACG